GAAGATGGGACAGGTCACTTATCTCTAAAAGTAAAAGGTTCTTAGAACAAAACTAGTCAATGATACAAAATAGATTTATCACAACTTTAAAATCAAAATTAGTATTTGTAAACACACTATTAACACTCCCACACATTATCCAAAATCCCAAAAATAATACAAGTATAATGATTTAAGAATATTAAATGTGAAATCATTTGCCAAGTCTTTTTTTTTTTTTTTAATATTAGAACAGGACGGATATGGACACAGACAGTTCCAGCTGCCTCCTCCTTTCCTTTCCCTTCACTTATTCTTCACCCACAAGACTGAATCCATCAGGGATCTACCACCACAACCACAGGAGGGGGGTTCACTTCGTCTTAACCACATAGCCAGCCATGTTTAAGGAGCCCCACGTCAAAAAAAAGGGAAGAGGTTAAGAATTTCCCACAAAATAGGCAGCTTCTAATATGTAATTTTTGGTTACAATTTAAACTTTCATTAATTACAATATATGGTTTGGGTTTTTTAAAACCATATTTAAGCTGCAAGCCAGTTCATTCAAACCTAAACAATGAAGGGTTATTTTAGTAGTCTGGAAGCTTAGAGAGAACTTTTACATAATTCAGATTTGATTCTTAGCAATCCTAGGAGATAAGACAGAGCAGGTATTATATCCATCTCACAAATGAGGAAACCCAGCCTAGACTGACAGAATGAGAACTGCATTCTAGGTCTTGTGCCTCCATAGGGTCTGCCACACTTCCACAGAAAATAAATGATACAAAGCCTTATCATCTGATTTATCCAGTAAAACATTAAGAATTTACAGCTTGGCTGGGCGCGGTGGCTCATGCCTGTAATCCCAGCACTTTGGGAGGCCAAGGTGGGCTGATCACGAGGTCAGGAGATCGAGACCATCCTGGCTAATACGGTGAAACCCCCTCTCTACTAAAATACTAAAAATTAGCCAGGCGTGGTGGCACACACCTGTAGTCCCAGCTACTCGGGAGGCTGAGGCAGGAGAATCACTTGAACCTGGGAGGTGGAGGTTGCAGTGAGCCAAGACTGGGTCACTGCACTCCAGCCTGGAGGACAGTGAGACTCCAACTCAAAACAAAAAAAAAAAGAATTAACAGCTTGAGTCAACTTGGCAGGAACATACTATATAAACTGAACTACACTTACAAGTGTATTAAATGAATAGGATATCAAGTAAATTGTATTTTACATCCTTAATTTGATCTCATTCTTATGGACAGATTTCAGTCTTAATGGAATTGGTTTTTAGTGCTTCTGAAGTAAAAATTTTAGGCAGTAGTTTTGCTTCTCTACCTTGTTATAGAATGGCATCTCCACAAATGTATATTTGATGACATACAAAGGTTGACGGGCAGGCAGAGTTCAAAATTTGCTGCATGGATTGGTGGGCAAAACAGGGGCTAGGGTTTTTAAAGGAATATACACCATTAAAATAAACAAAAGATGTAATTTTCCACAGAAGTCACCAAAGAATCAAAATATGTAGGCCAATAAGTGCATGACTTTAGCCTTTTATTTTTCCTGGTCACTTTAAACAATTATAAAATGGATAGAAAAAGTTTCATCTTTTGTTAGGTTTGCTTAAAGATTCAGCAGCAAAATGCAAGTTTTTAGTTTTTTGTTTTGTTTTTTTTGAGACGGAGTCTTGCTCTGTCGCCAGACTGGAGCGCAGTGGTGCAATCCTGGCTCACTGCAGCCTCCAACTCCCAGGTTCAAACAATTCTCCTGCTTCAGGCTACCAAGAAGCTGGGACTACAGGTGTGCGCCACCAGGCCCAGCTAATTTTTGTATTTTTAGTAGAGACGGGTTTCCCCATGTTGGCCAGGATGGTCTCAATCTCTTGATCTCTTGATCTGCCCGCCTCACTCTCCAAAAGTGCTGGGGTTACAGGCGTCAGCCACCATGCCCAGCCAAGTTTTTAATTTCTAACTAGCAGCATGTTTTACTACTGTAGTATCTTTACCATTAACATTAGGTTGTGATATGTTTCATCTGAAAAATTATAAAACTTACCTCACAATCAGGGCATACAATTGTGGTGCATTCTTCAGTCATTAACAAGCATAGTTCACAAAAAGCATGTCCACATTGAAGTTCACAGTGGTGACCTATTCATGAAATTCTTAATTATTATTTTGATGACTATTATTATTGCAACAGGGTCTTGCTCTGTTGCCCAGGCTGGAGTGCAGTGGCACCAGCTCACTGCGGCCTCCACCTCTGGGGCTCAAGGGATCCTCCTACTTCAGCTTCCCAAGTAGCTGGGACTACAGGTGTGTTCCAATACACCCGGCTAATTTTACTGATGAAATTCTATTGTGATTAAACTGCCCACGGTGTGTTAATGTTGAATGGGCAATACTGATCAAAGGGAAATTCAAAGAGGATCCTACTGTACAGGAAAAGATACCTACTAGAGTTTGAAATGGTTGACTTATTGAATATAAATCAGGAGTAACCAACTATTCAGGTCAGGAGGAAGAAAAATCAAGAAGAAAAACCAAGAAGAGCTATGTAATAGCAACTGCATTAATTCAGATAGCTATTTTGTACCTAGAATACTTTGAATCTGCCATATCTTATAATTATACAAAGTGCTCTGACACATTTTATTTTGTTATTTGTAAATATTACAGTTAAATGGGCTAGAGATGAAATAGCATTTTGGAGATTTGGTTAACTAAATGGTATAATCCAGACTCCAATCTAGTTCTGTTTCCAAGTCTAACATTCTACCTGACTGACCATACTGCCATCTACTACTTTATATTTCCCATCCTGTGAAGTGGTCAAGAAGGGCCAAAACGGTGGCCAAAATGAGACACTGGCAAGACCGTGCTCTTAGAATTACTTAAGACATTGGAAAGGCCAGAAGCCAGATGCTACTATTATCACACACCCACAACTCACAAACTTAGCATTTATGAAAGGAAATATCATAACTTGATTGAAAACCTAATATCATGATTAAATGCTCTAAGAATTTGAAGTTTAAGGCCCGGCGCGGTGGCTCAAGCCTGTAATCCCAGCACTTTGGGAGGCCGAGGCGGGTGGATCACGAGGTCAGGAGATCGAGACCATCCTGGCTAACATGGTGAAACCCCGTCTCTACTAAAAATACAAAAAACTAGCCGGGCGTGGTGGCGGGCGCCTGTAGTCCCAGCTACTCGGAGGCTGAGGCGGGAGAATGGCGTGAACCCGGGAGGCGGAGCTTGCAGTGAGCCGAGATCGCGCCACTGCACTCCAGCCTGGGCGACACAGCGAAACTCCGTCTCAAAAAAAAAAAAAAAAAAAAAAAAGAATTTGAAGTTTATAATAAACAACATTTGTTTTAGCTACATAATTTCAAAAGGCTGTCATTTTTTAAGTTTTGCAAGAAAACAAAAAGGGAAAAAAGCTAGATAAAAATCAGTCATCTTTTACTAGCAAAATAATTACAGAGTTCTTGCTGAATTATAATAATTGCATTAATTTTATTTATTTATTCATTCATTCATTCTGAGATGGACCACGATCTCGGTTCACTGTCAATTCCGCCTCCTGAGTTCACGCGATTCTCCTGCCTCGGCCTCCGGAGTAGCTGAGATTACAGGTGTGCGCCAGCATGCCTGGCTAATTTTTTTTTAATTTTTAGTAAAGATAGGGTTTCCCCATGTTACCCAGGCTGGTCTTGATCTCCTGACCTCAAGTGATCCACCCACCTAGGCCTCCCAAAGTGCTGGAACTACAGGCGTGAGCCACTGTGCCCGGCCTTGCATTTATTTTATTTTTTAAAAAACTTTACAAGTTTCCCAGCCAACTGAAATACCTGAAACTTGCTTACAACCATGGTAAATTTTAAAGCCCTATTTAACTTCCAGAGATAACATCGCCAAAGAAATAAAAACACTTATCTGTTACTATAAAATTTCTGATACTGAATAACTCAAAATAACTTGTGGTATATTACACCTTAAAAAGCACTTTCAGGATTCTATACACATAACCACTACTTCTCCAACTTAGTTTTTCTAAGCATAATACTAATGTATGAAAGAAGTACTCATTTTAAAAGGTTGTGTTCTAGAACTTTATTCCATAATTCTAATTTCATTCAAAAATGGAGATTTTCTACGTAACGGTAGCAGTGATCAAACCCCAAGTAGGAGAAACTTGGTTCTCCACTGAAATCACAACTTTTTCTGCAGAGGCTCACATCTCAGAGTCCATCTTGACAAGAATGAGAAAACTGATCGAATGACCCTAACTTTTAAAGTATAAACAATTACACCAGGTAATATGAATTTTCAGTAGCTCCAGGTATTTTAAGTTACATTAAAATAACTTGAATCAGCTGGGCACGGTGGCTCACGCCTGTAATCCCAGCACTTTGGGAGGCCAAGATTGGCGGATCACCAGGTCAGGAAATCGAGACCATCCTGGCTAACACGGTGAAACCCTGTCTCTACTAAATATACAAAAAATTAGCTGGGCGTGGTGGCGGGAGCCTGTACTCCCAGCTATTCGGGAGGCTGAGGGCAGGAGAATGGCGTGAACCCGGGAGGTGCAGCTTTCAGTGAGCAGAGATCGCGCCACTGCACTCCAGCCTGGGTGACAAAGCAAGACTCCATCTCAAAGAAAAAAAAAAACTAATAAAAAAATAAATAACTTGAACCTGTGATCACTTGAGTAGATTATAGATGAAGAGACCAATAGTAATGCAGTGTTATTTTTCCCTTCACGTATAAAGACCAACACACACACACACACACACACACACACACACAAACACAAGGTGCACAAAAGAAACTATCATTTTCCAAACAGTGCTTTAGGCCAATGTGAGCCATAATGTAAAAACAAACAAACAAACAAACAAAACCCCACAGAAACAAAAAAACGCTAACAACAAAATCCAAAACCATTTCACAGTGGTCTACTTGTTACTCCTACAACAAAAACTACACAAGAAAATCAACTTTCGTTCCTTCTTCATGACAAAACAATGGGCTACAACTTACGTCTACTTTTGCATGAACCCGCTAACCTGCCATGTGAGGGGTAGATTAAAGTCACCCAGGCCCCCATCCTCCCGGCTGGAGGGTCGATGAGGCCTGGATGGGGAAGTGGAGAAAGCCGTGAAAGGTGCCAGGTGCCGCCCTAACCAACCCAAACACGGCCCTTTTGGGGCAGCTGCAGGAGGCCTGTGACGCAGTTTCCGGGACACCAGGATTGGATGCAGCTGAGCAAGCCTCACGCGCCCACCAGCTCACCTGGCCCCCAGCCCTCCCTCCAGGCTGCCTCCCCGCTAGGTGGGCCCTTGGGTTCCTCACCGGATGCTCTGGATACCCTCCTTCCACACCTGGTGCACTGGATGTCAGCGGCACCCCAGTGCTGACTCTTCCTCCCCATCCGCTGGTAGGCAGACCGGGAAGGCCCAGTCTTCGAAGGCTCTGCCGCCATCGCTGTCTTCTTCTTCTGGAACAACCGCCGAGTGCTAGTCCCGGCAGCCCTCGCGGCAGCAACCAATCATTGGAGGCCAGCACCTGCAGCTAGCCAAACAGTGGGCCGGGAGGTTAAAGCCCGCCCCCAAGCTTGCTCCTGATAGGGCTGGGGCTGTTTTCCGTTATCCTGGGAGGTACCACTCCTAGAAGGGGCGCCTTGTGGCCGTTAAGGGCAGTTCACTTTTACATTCTACCCAAAGAGTCACCACTTTAGCGCCTTTAATCATCACAAATTAAAATGTCGCATATTATTACTTACATTGTGAGTGACTTTATAAATAATAATCATCTGTATTGAAGCAGTCCCCTTTCTCTATTATGTGTCAGGGCCAGAAGCCCTAAACCTGTGTGCTGGGGGTATCCAGGGCTTGGCTAATAGGAGCTGGAGTGGAGAAGCTCATCAGTAGCCATTGTTGGGGTAGATGCAGTGAACGCTTTCAAATTAAGGAGTGCTCATCATTACTAACTGCTGTTGAGCCTAGTAACATACAAGGCAGAGGGCCGAGAGTGGTTGGGGATGTTAAGAATGTATGAACTAACAGGATTCTGCTTGAGAGGTATATAACTCCATTTAAAAAAAACCCAGTAACTTCCGCCAAAATAGCTAAGTGTTATATGCCTGACGTGTGTTAGAGATAATAAGAATTACTGCCTTCTGGGCCGGGCACGGTGGCTCACGCCTGTAATCCCAGCCCTTTGGGAGGCCCAGGCAGGCGGATCACGAGCTCAGTAGATCAAGACCATCCTGGCTAACATGGTGAAACCCCATCTCTACTAAAAATAAAAATAAAAATAAAAATTAGCCAGGAGTGGCGGTGGGCGCCTGTAGTCCCAGCTACCCAGGAAGCTGAGGCAGGAGAATGGCGTGAACCTGGGAGGCGGAGCTTGCAGTGAGCTGAGATCGCGCCACTGCACTCCAGCCTGGGCGACAGAGCGAGACTCCATCTCAAAAACAAACAAACAAAAGAATTACTGCCTTCTGAAGAAATGAAGTCAGTATGGTCTACGGTGGTATGAAAAGTCTTCCTAGAGGATATAGGGTTTGCACTAGACCTTACAACGTAGGTAGTACTTACAGGAGTAAACAAGAAATAAGGGATTTGAAGAATAAAGACCACGTCAGCGAGGGAAGGTAGATGCGAGGGAAGGTAGACGGAAGACACAGTGGCTTCTTGAGAATTTAAACACCATTTAGCCAGAGTATGAGTTTCCTTAAAGTAAGCTTCTTTGGAGAGGTATGTCAGGGAAGAATTTCAGAGAATCTCGAGTGTCAGGCTGAGGAGTTTGAACTAGCAGTAGAGTGCATGACACGTTTTGTGAGCAAGGAATGAAGTAATCTGGTAGAAAGGTGGCAGGTGTATTTCAGACAAAACACCTGGAGGTGGCACAGTTGCCTTTTGCTGCTAAGAATAAAGCCTGCCCATATTCCTCATTTTCTTTTCTTTTTTTTTTTTTTTTAAGATGTCGCCCAGACTGGAGTGCAGTGGTGCAATCTCAGTGCACTGCAACCTCTACTGCCCAGGTTCGAGTGATTCCCCTGGCTCAGCCTCCCACGTTAGTAGCTGGGACATCAGGTGCGCACCACCACACCCGGCTAATTTTTTGTATTTTAGTAGAGACGGGGCTTCACCATGTTGGCCAGGATGGTCTTGGATCTCCTGACCTCTTGATCCGCCCACCTCAGCCTCCCAAAGTGCTGGGATTACAGGCGTGAGCCACCATGCCCAGCCAAATGTAAGTTGTTTTTGATAGTGGACATCTATCAACTCTAACTTCTATTTCTTTTTTATTTTGCCTAGTCATGGTAAAGATGCTTGCTCCAAAAATCAATCTTTTCTTCTTTGGCTCACAGAACTCAGAGATACAATATACAAATACCATATGCAATGGTACTAAAATTTAGTGGTTAATCCCTGGTAGCTCACTAAAAGGGCTATCACTTCTTCAACCTTTGTGCTTTGTATTGGGTGAGGTTCAGGTTACTAAGTGCTCTGAGACAAACTGATCTCCTGTATCAGCTTCCAATTAGAACCTTCTTCTTACACCAGCCATTGATGTCATATCTATGGTGTATCTGTTTTTAAAATATGTTTTTCAGATATCCTCATTATTATAACAGAAGTTATTAGTCATGATGTCTATTATCATAAAAAGTGTTTATATTATAGCATGATAACGCATGGAACAATTGATTATAAAATACGGTAAAAACTTGAGGTGGGTGGTCAGAGACCAGGGGAATCAATAAAGAATAAAGGGCAGATGGAAAGAGGCAAAGAGTGGGGAATGAAATGATCTTCCTGGAAAGTTTTATTAATCCATTCTCACACTGCTATAAAGAAATACCTGGAACTGGGTAATTTACAAATAAGGGAGTTTTAATCGGCTCATGGTTATGCAGGCTTTACAGGAAGCATAGTGGCTTCTTCCGGGGAGGCCCCAGGCAACTTACAATCATGGTGGAAAGTGAGGGGAAGCTGCTGTGTCTTACATGGTGGCAGCAGGAGGAAGACCTCATGGGAACACTATCAGGAGACAGCACCAAAGGGGTGGTGCTAAACCTTTCATGAAGAATCCACCCCCATGATCCAATCACCTGCACCAGGCCCCAACTCCAAGGTTGGGGATTACAATTCCACATGAGATTTGGGTGGGGACACTAATCCAAACTATATAAAAAGCGAAACATCAGAGCAGGAGGGGATGTTTTATGTTCACAGAACTGCCCAACTAGAGAAGAGGAAATACAGAAAGCATTGTCATTCAAAATTTTATTTTGAGAACATTTATAGAAATACTATATAACAAAATATCCTCTAAAATATTTCTGCTCATAAATTTTTCCAACTATTATATGTTCTTTAAACTTAAGAATATTGTTGGCCAGGCACAGTGACTCATGCCTGTAATCTCAGCACTTTGGGAGGGGAGGCCGATGGATTGCCTGAGGTCAGGAGTTTGAGACCAGCCTGGCTAACATGGTGAAATCCTGTCTGTATTAAAAATACAAAAATTAACCAGGCATGGTGGCACACACCTGTAGTCCCACCTACTCGGGAGGCTGAGGCAGGAGACTTGCTTCAACCTGGGAGGCAGAGGTTGCAGTGAGCCAAAATCACACCACTGCACTGCAGCCTGGGTGACAGAGTGAAACTCCGTCTCAAGAAAAAAAAAAAAAAAAAGAATAATATTGTCTTGGCAGAGTCCTGAATATGATTATATGCTTATTGAGTACAGTAGAATTTCAGCATGGGATTTATAGTTAGGAAGAATAAAGCGCAGATGGGGAGGGATGAAAGGTGTGAATCAAGGACCTTTCTGTATTTCTTTTACTTCCTTTTTTCCTAGAATCTAACACAGAAGATATGAATTCGCCATTTCATTGTGGAATACGGCTTTCATTCTTGTTCTGGAACATGGCAGCAATCATTCTTCAATTAGATCTAAATGATTGAATTGCAAGGTGAACTGTCTTGGTGGCTAATTCATCTTCCCTCATCTCCAGCACCCTCTTTTCCCAATATCAAGCCATGTTCTTTTGTAAGGAACTGTATCTACTGTCAAGTGGCCTGGAAATTAAGAGGTCCAGTGTGTCTTCCAAGTCCTTGTTTCTATTTGGTATCATGATGTCTTTCACTGCTATCCCACCGATCTGTTTTCCAAGGCTATACAGAGGAGGACTGCAAAAATGAAGGGAATGGCAGAACAATGTTACATATGGGGGAAGGCTTCGGTCGATTTTAAGTTATTCAGGAACTAGTTTTCTAGCTAATGGGTTGTCAAATTCTTTGCATCAGAAGCTTTTATCTGGTTGGTAGCTTTTAGGTGAGCTCTGTACTGACTAGCAATGGAAAGGGAACAGATGCCACAAGGACCTGCTTGAAAACCAACATCAACCTCCAGAAGTGGATCTGAGTGGTTTGATTTATGCCCATGACATACCCAAGTCTGGAGAAAGTAAGTTCAAAGGAGGACAAAAATGTATGTAAACTGAGCAATAAAGGAAAAAAAAAAACCAACATAATTCAAGGTATACATTTTTTGGCTTTACTATGACTTCCACAGACACAGAAAACAAGGAAGAATTATAATCAATTTATTTGATCAGCTCAAGAAACTATATTTTTTCATATAGTCAATTTTTAATCTTTATTTTAGCAGACAATATGTGAGTAATTTCTTCTACTAATAATTTCTGCTATTTATAAAGTTTATGCTAAACATTTGATGTTTCATATATTCATATATTACTTTTTGGCACTCACTAAAAATGTCACCAGTTGGCTAATGTCTGTCAGAAAATCTTCCCTATTTTTATGACATTATATTATAAAAAGTAAAATAGATATTTATGTGTGACTTTACCAATCAAAAGCATGATATCAAATGGGTAGATTCAGGAAATGAGTTAAGCTACTGAAGAGAGAAGATACTTATTTAATGCCAGTAATTAATTCAATACACAGAAAATGACTAAATTCCACAACTATTTACAACATTAAAATAATGTAAATTGTTACTTGTAAGTAATAGCAAAACATGTTGAATAATGGTGATTTCAAATGTTTGCTTTGCATACTATTTTAACTAGGAATGACTTTACCTATAACCAAAATATGACTACTGAAGGTAAAACAACATAATTATCTAAACCTATATAGCAATACTATAAGGCAATATTAGACCCATGAATAAAGTAATTTGGCTCCTTGTGGGCATTTTTTTATGACCTGTAGGAACACCTTATAAAGTAACCTAGAAAGGAAAATGTGATTAAATTCTATTGCATTTGACAATTAATAGAACACCTTGTCCAAAGTCTAGGCAGAAAATTTCAGAGACAAAACTTTTCAGAAAAACAAAACTTAATCCTTTGCAAAAACTTTCAGAAGTAAAAAGCAAGTATTTTCCAAAACTCTATCAGGGTGAATTCAACATAAAAGAGCTTAACTAGGTTTCAAGATGCAGAGCTAGAAGGATCACTGATGTATTCCAGTATGGAATTTATTACATATTTATATGTTCTTGCTTAATCTATTCAAGGGCTTTCCCATAAACATATTCTAAAATATTGAACAACTCATATGTTCCAATCAGTGTGAATAAGCTACCAATTTGGGAAAATTTGTAATCATGGTGAGACAAACTCTTAACTACTGCTAGTGGCAATACCTATTGGTGTAATCTTTTTTGAGAGTAAGCTGACAAAACGTTTAAAAAGACACAGCCATGTTCATTCCCACTAATTCAGCAATTTCAGCTTTGAGAATACTTCCACAGGAAATGATCAAAAACCAAACAAAAATGAAAACTATATCATAACAGTGTTTATTGTTTATAAAACAGAAAATAGGAAGTAATTTAAATCCATATCAATCTGTAACTGGCTTAGGAGATCACAGTATATCAATCTGAGAAACATAGCAGTCAAGTGGAAAAGGACAAATAGAGATGTTATATATCTATATAGGGAAATGTAGGTGATATACAAGTGAAAACAGCATAATTCTAAATTATATGTAGTTCTCAGTATATGCAAATACTAGAATGTAATTATGTAACTATATAAATTATATATGGGAAAAAAGATTGAATAATGCAATCTTTTTTTTTTTTTTTTGACAGGGTCTCACTCTGTCACCCAATTTGGAGTGCAGTGCTGCCATCATGGCTCACTGTTGCCTGGACCTCCAGGGCTCAAGCTATTCTCCTGCCTCAGCCTCCCAAGTAACTGAGGCTATAGGCACAGGCCACCACACCTGGCTAATTTTATTTTATTTTATTTCTGCAGAGATGGGGGCTCACCATGTTGTCCAGGCTAGTCTCAAATCCTGGTCTCAAGCGATCTGCCCGGCCTCGGCCTCCCAAAATGGTAGGACTACAGGTATGAGCCACCATGTCTGGCAGCAATCTTTATTGAATAATACAATTGTAGGTAGGAACAGGGATGACTGTTTTTACTCCAAGCATCACATAATGTTGTGGTGGGAGACGCATACTTGTCTCCTCAGACGTCTTCTGATTGCATACCACCTTCGTGCACAGCACAAGGTCCTGAAAGAAAATGAAACAAAAGCACAGAGAGATGCAGAGGCAAGAAACAGAGAGGCGCTGCTTGCCTTTCTAAAGGTGTTCTGATTCTTTACATGTGAGACCTGGCCTGCATGTCTAATCTTGGGGTCTGTGAAAAAAACAAAAGCAAAACCAAAACTCTTACGTCCTTATTATGAATTCCTTTAGTTTGTCTTAGACCAGTTTGAACTGGATTAAACCAAGAACCAAAACTAAGACAGGTTTAATAATTTCTTTTTTCTTTTCTTCTTTTTTTTTTTTTTTTGAGACAGTCTCGCTCTGTCGCCCAGGCTGGAGTGCAATGGTGCAACCTCGGCTCACTGCAAACTCCACCTCCCAGGTTCAAGTGATTCTCCTGCCTCATCCTCCTGAGTACCTGAGATTACAGATGCCTGCCACCGAGCCCAGCTAATTTTTGTATTTTTAGTAGAGACGGGGTTTCACCAGATTGGCCAGGCTGGTCTCAAACTCCTGACCCCAGATGATCCACCCGCCTCAGGCTCCCAAAGTGCTGGGATTACAAGCATGAGCCACCATGCCCGGCTAGTTTTCATATTTCTGTCACAATCTTTAACTTGTATTTTTTAAAAGAATCTGTACTCCATTGTACTCCAGCCTGGGCAACAGAGCAAGACTCTATCTCAAAAAAACAAAACAAAACATTTTTAATGGGGGACAAGATCCTCTATATTGATTTCATTATCTACTAAAAAGCCACAGTGCCCTAAGAAATTCCATGTATAACACAATCCACAATCTTTTGCTCCACAAATGACCCTTCTACTCTAGCTTAATTGGTCTTATTACCCACAGATATCCTCAGACCCATCTCAGGCCTAGAATTGCCTCCATCTCCTCTCCCTCAACTCCTTGTCTTTCTCCCAGGCAAGCACAGTTCATGGACTGACTCAGTCCCAACGTCCCTGGCCATCAGGTAGGGTTTCCCCCTCTGCCTCTCCAAGCACTAACTGGCTCTCCTGCCCTTTGAGCACCAAACTATTCAGCACTGAAGTGTCTCTTTTAATACAGGTCATGTGTGATTAAGTACCAGGAGGTAAATTGTTTATTAAGTACCAGGAGGCCACGTGTTTCCAGAGCCAAACACAGCATCCCACACTTAGGTTCTCAATACAGAGAAGAACTTTTAGTTCATTTCTTCGGTTACATCCCCTATTCTTCTTCACGTGAAAATTTAAAAAGGGATCACAAATATTAGTCATCTGATTTATGATGCTTCAGAAGTTCTATTTTGCCAGAATCTTCTTTTTTAGCATCAACATTGTAATTATTATCTTCTTGGTTAGACTGGAAAGTCTGATTGGAGGGCCCCTTATATCATCAGTCATATCCCCAATCCCTGACACTCGTTAAGGAAAGAAATGTCCCTTTCAGATTTGACCTGCATGCACAGTACTTCTTGCCCAAGGAGAAGAACATATCCGGGCAGTGCCTGGGCGAGGGGAACTAGCATGAGATGATGGGGGCTAAGGAGGGAGAGTGAGAGGGCAGAAGCCAGATTAAGTAGGGCCAGGCAGGCCACACCGAAGATTCTGGAAATGGGAAATGGCTAAAGGTCTAAGCAGGGAACCAACAATCCAACTTACATTTAAGACTACTCTGGCTGTCATCTGGAGCAGGGGTCCCCCACCCCTGGACCAGTATCGTCCCGGGCCTGTCAGGAACCTGGTTGCACAGCAGTAGCAAGCATTACCACCTAAGCTCAGCCTCTTGTCAGAACAGTGGCTTCCATCCACAGTGCAGGACAAGGCAGCTGCAGCCTCGGCGGGCCGTCTGTGTTCCTCCAGATGACATCCTTTAATTATCTTGATGGCCAAAGACTATCTCTTTGTGAATATATATTAGAGTTTCTTGATCCCTTCATCTGTGGACGGGCAGTAGATAAAGCTTTTAGGAGTCCACATGCCTGAGATCATGCAGTGTGGGACTTTCTCCACCAGGCTCATTTTCTTGGACCTAATGTCCTCTGGGTTTCTCCATGTGGCTGTGGATGACAGGATTTCCTAAAGCTTTATGACTGAAGCATATTCTGTGTGTATCTGTATGGCAGTTTCTTTATCCCTTCAGCTGTGGATGGACAGGGCTGCTGTACATTTGGCCTGTGCCAATGGCCATGTGGAAGTGGGGACTCTCCTGGTGAACTGAAAATACCACATTGACATTGGTGACAAACAAAATGGGACGTCTTTGAGAAGGTTGTACATCGCCAGGAAGAGATTTGTGGCATCATTCTGCCGGAACGTGGATATCTACGGCAACACTGCTCTCCACTGTGCTGTCCTATAATGAGAGTACATTCCTGGTAGAAAAACTACTTTCCCGTGATATGGATATTGAAGTGCTGAACAATGATGGAAACACACCACGTTTACTTGCTGCAGTTTGCAAAAGACAGCAAATGCTGGAATTTTTGGTGACAAGCAAATGTACATGCTGTTGATAGGTTGGGAGGAACAGTCCTCATGCCTGCTGTACATTATGGCTCATTAGGTATAGTCGGCATTCTTCAACAAAATATTACTGTCTTTATTCAAAATATGTATGTACAGACAGCAAACAATTATGCAATTTCTGGTGCTTTGACTAGCATTCAACAACAAATTTTGCAACATAAAAAAAGATACTTGAAAATGGTCTTCAAAATGACGATCCAGAAGCATCTAAGAATGCAAGTTTGAAAAAAGGAGGAGCAAGTGTAGAAGATTCAGGGAGTTCTGACGAATCTGCATTAAGTATTTCAAAGATCTGTGTGTTGATTCATGCCGTAAACTAGATAATGAAGACTTGACTTTTACTACCAAGTAGTATAACCCTGAGACTGCTTCAGAGTCTTTACTTGAACCTTTATATAAAAAAGAAGAAAAAATATGGTAAAAGGAGAAGGGCCTCCTGTAAAACATCTTTCCTTGAAGCCTACCACTGAAATGGAAAAGTCTGTTGTGAGGAATGCAGTAAAAAGAAAGGATGTACAAACATCTAGAGCAGAACAAGACTTAGAAGTGACTTCAGAGGAAGAACAAGAAAGGCCTGAGAAAAGTGAAAATAAATAACCACAGGTTGAAGGAGGAAGAAGCACAAAAGTAAAAAAAAAAAAAAAAAAAAAAATAGAGGTATCAGAAAACCTATATAATAGTACATCTGCTGACGATGATGGATCAATGCAACAAAGACAAGATGCGAAAACCTACCATCAGCAATTTCCTAGGAAGGAGAAAGTATGACAGGCCTGCAAAGAAAGCATCAAAAGGTCAAAAAGCGAACACATTTTAGGGATGGCCTTGATGACTTAATTTGGCCATCTGAACAATACAAAATTATCTGTGAGAACTTCTTGTCTCATGGAGTTTACTTTTTAGGGTATTGAATTTAATTCCAGCTTTAGAAAGTTGTTCAGTAACTAATTGTTATCTTTTAACTCAAAAAAAAAAAAAAATGTGTGCCAAAGGACCTAAGCCAAACACAGCATCAAATAAAGGAAAGCGAGACTATTAGAGGAGCGGATATCTCAACTACAACATGAAAATCTGTTGCTTGAACAGCAACTAGATGGTGCTCATAAGAAAGGGGATAATGAACAAATAGTAATTAATATCCAAAGCTGCTGTTTTGAGAGTGAAAAAGAAGGTCTTCTAGAAGAGAAAAATAAGGAATTAATCAATGAATGCAATCATTTAAAAGACTGTTTCAGTATAGAAAACAGAAATCAGAAGGAGAAGTAAGTATCAAGAAAAATAAATATTTTCAAGCTTCCAGAGAGAAAATTTAAATATTTGGTTATGGCTACATGTTGAACCTAGTTGAATATAAAAATAAGTAGATGAAAAATATGTTTACCATACTGTATAATTCCATTTACATGAAACATCTGGAATACACAAATGTATAGAGACAGAAAGTAGATTAATGTTTGCATAGGGCTGGGGCTGGAAATGTGTAGTGACTGCTAATGGGCATGACGCATCTTCTTGGAGTGATGAAAATGTTCTAAAGTTGGACTGTAGTGATGGTTGCATGACTCAGTAAATTTACTAATAATCTTTGAACTGTATGTTAAAAGATAAATTCTATAGTATACAAATCATGTTTCAACAAACTCTTTAAACCAAAAGCCAAAACTAAACAAACAAAAAGGAATGTTAAAGAAATCTCTGACAGGCCACAGTATGCCATCAAAATTATGTCACATGAATTATAAATTATATTTTATAATTTTATTTTTTCTGAACTAGAGATAATCTGAAGAAAAAAATTAATGAGAATTTTCACACCAGAGCAAAACCAGAAATGATAGGTCAATGAAAATGAGCTTAAGGCAGAGTCCCTTATGAAAAACAGAGCAATTGGCCAGGCACGGTGACTTCGGGAGGCCAAGGCAGGTGGATCACCTAAGGTAAGGAGTTTGAGACCAGCCTGACCAACATGGTGAAACCGTCTCTACCAAAAATAGAAAAAAACTACCTGGGTGTGGTGTCACACGCCTGTAGTCCTAGCTACTCGGGAGGCTGAGGCACAAGAATCATTTGAACCTGGACAGCAGAGGTTGCAGTGAGCCAACATTGCACCACTGCACTCCAGCCTAGGTGAAAGAGAGAGACTCCACCTCAATAAAAAACAAAACAAAAAAGAGCAATTAATAACAAACTGGAGGTCCAGCATTTCCTCTCATCCTTTTGTCTGGCCATCAGCTTTTGGGTTCTCGATAATGGAAGTTTTCTCTGAGTTCAGTTTCTCTGGGTCCAACTCAATGATCTCATATTCCTTTTGAAATGAGGTATATAGTCAAAAGCTCATTGCGTGGGTTAGACATTGTTTTTTAACTGCAAAGAGAAAAAGAATAAGGGAAATTGATTCTAAAATCTTAAGCAATTGTTTTACTCAGAAAGTTCTAGACCAGCTGTGTTTGATGGTACACACCTGTAGTCCCAGCTACTTGGGAGGCTGAGGTAGGAGAATTGCTTGAACCCGGGAGGGGAGGTTGCAGTGAGCCGAGATCACACCACAGCCCTCCAGCCTGAATGAGAGAGTGAGACCCAGTCTCAAAAAAAAAAAAAAAAAAAAAGGATTTTAAAGGAATCTTGGCTGGGCGCAGTGGCTCATACCCATAATCCCAGCACTTTGGGAGGCTGAGGCGGGTGGATCACTTGAGGTCAGGAGTTCAAGACCAGCCTGGCCAACATGGTGAAACCCTGTTTCTATTTAAAAAGTACAAAAAAATTAGCTGGGCATGGTGGCACACTACCTGGTGTGTACCTCCCAGCTACTCAGGAGGCTGAGGCAGGAGAATTGCTTGGACCTGGAAGGCAGAGGTTGCAGTGGGCCAAGATCACGCCATTCGTTGCGCTCCAGCCTGGGCGACAGAGTGAGACTCTGTCTCAAAATAAATAAATAAATAAATAAATAAATAAAATAAAATAAAAAATAAAAACCTTTTAGTTCTTATTACACTTGTGAGAAACAAACCCTTGGCACAGATTGTTGCAAAACACTTATCCCTTGATATGTTTTGTCCTGTATCTCCACGTAGACATTTCAGTCTCACTGCAAGTCACCTTACCATTTTACTCGTGAGTTAAAACCAAATGAAAACACAAAAGGATGCAAATTAAATCTGCAAAATAAGAGATTACCAAAATAATTAAATTACGTGTGAAAAGGCTACACTAAATCCTTTTTGTTGTTGTTTTTGTCTTGAACAAGCTTCTGCCACCACCGGCAGTTACAGCTAACACACTTTTGTAGATTTTCTATTCAAACCCATTTCTAAGTCACCGGCTATCTGGGCTACGAGCCGCATGTGCCCCAGGTGTAAATCAAACGAAGCCTTAATTACTGCCACTTTTGATCAGTATCTAATTCCACCTTCTACCCTCATTAGCCGAGGGCTGTGGCTCCACTTGGTTGTGGAGAGGTTTCCCAAAGCCACAGGGTGTCATGATAATTCAATTCGGGGTGAATAATTCAAGGACAGGGGTGCTTTCTTTCGGGACCCTGACCCTCGCTTCCTGCCTGGAATCCAGAGCTGCGTGGTTCGCGGGCTGGAAAGAAAATGTTAAAGCCCAGATCAGTGCGGACGCGAGAGGCAGGAGACATCAGGTCTAGCCCGGAGCGGGAGGAAGGCCCAGCAGACCCGCCCCGGCAGCAGGGCCAGGTCCGACAGTGGCTCCGACGCCGGTACCCGGCCGAGGCTTCCCTCCTTTCACCTGAATCAGGCTGGGTAGGGCCCTGGGGCCTCGGTTTCCGTACCAAGAACAGCTTTAGTCAGCCGGGGGCTGCCTTTAGAGTCGCTGCGGCTTCCACCTTCTCTCCCGAGGTTTGTGCGTCCCGGCTGGAAACGCTGCGTTGGGCCGCCAGGCAGGCAGTTTGCGCGCAAACCGAAACTCAGCTAAGGGCCGTTCCATGGCGCGCGCCTCGCACCTGCTCGCCCAGAAGGGAGCGCGCCTGTCTGCCGCAGGGCGCCTCGCCCCGCCCCGCCCCGCCCCGCCCCGCCCCGCCCCGCCCCGCCCCGCCGTAGCTAAGGCCCCTGCTGTGCGTGCGCGCCGGTGTGACCCGCGTCAGCGGAGTTTGTGAGGTCCCGGGGACCGCATGTACCTTCAGCCGTCCTCCCTTCACCCGCACGTCGACACAGTGTCACCTCCTCAAGCCACAGGGTACTGAGTCTAAAGCACAGGGCCGCCCCATGCCCCTCTCCCGAGGGTCGCTCTGCCTTGCTCCATCTCACTTCAGGGCCCCAGTCGCCCCTGATCCAGGCCTGCCTTCGGGAGCTCTGTTGTGGGCACCAAGGAAGAGCAGCACAGTGAGAGGATGGTTCCAGGGCATGGGAGAGGCCCCTGATCTCTAGGATGTTCTGGCGCCAAAAGGAAGGCAGGACGCGAAGATAACAGATTGTCTAAGCAGCTGTGTTCTCTGGAAACAGGATCGGAATTGGGCAAAGCACACCCCAGCTGGCGTACCGAAAATCAGTTCAAAACCCTATGAGATAAGCTGTGCGTTCCTTCAGTGCGTTTACCGAAGCATAAACGCGCACTGCGAGCTGGCGAGGCCCAGCGAGAGGCGCAGACTGCGCTGAAGAGGGGCGGGAGCGGCGCCGCGGGCGCTGTCCCAGCAGTAGAGCCCTGGGGCGGGGTCGCCGGCCTGCTCGGCTCCGTGCTGGGGAAAAACTCCGGTCTCCGCAGCTCGCCCAGAGCCCAGGGCTGGCGGATGGACCCCCTCCATAACCACCGCACGACCCCCACCGCTACCCCGCCGCGCTCCGCCGCAGCCAGTGCCCCCACGCCCGTCCCCTCCTCCGGGCGAAAGCCAACGGCACCCATTGGTCGCCTGCGGGCTGGGAAGGCGGCTTTCACCGCTGCGCGGCGCACCCGGCCTGGGAACGAGGCCTCTCTCTGCGGGGAACCTGAAGAGGTCCAGTGTTGGGACTGGGGGACACGTGGGAGAGGCGCCCAGGGGCTCAGGTCGCCTGTCCCCGCCTCCCTGCTCTCCCCACGCGCAGGAGGGAGCGCAGCTCTCTGGGAGAGAACGAGGGCCTTGGCCTGGCTTTCCAAATTCAGGAAGGAGAAGACCCTTCCCTGCCCATGATGACCCTCAGGCCAGTCTCCACCAGCTTCACCAACGCCCGCCGGCACCTCAAGGAGAACGCAGTGACGTGGGACCCGCACAGCAAGGACCAGGAGGACGGAGGCCTCTTCAGCAGCGACACTGAGGGCAACCCCGAGAAGGCAGAGATTGACCCGGAGGAGCATCCATCTCCACAAGACCAACAGGCACCATGGCGACCACAGCCCATGCTCCCTGCGCACCCCCGCACCTCTCCAGGCTTCTCTAATCTCAGTCGGGGTCCAGGTGGACTTGGCATCCGGAGCTGTGCCTGGAAGTGCCCGGGCTGTGGGCCATAGCCTGGTCTCCCGGGAGAACTGGATCAAGTTCACACATAACAATATTAACCTTAAATGTAAATGGGCTAAATGGTCGGATTAAAAGACACTAACTGGCAAATTGGATAAACAGTCAAGACCCATCAGTATACTGTATTCAGGAGACCCATCTCATTTGCAGAGACCCACATAGGCTCAAAATAAAGGGATGGAGGAAGATCTACCAAGCAAATGGAAAACAAGAAAAGGCAGGGGTTGGCCGGGCGCGGTGGCTCAAGCCTGTAATCCCAGCACTTTGGGAGGCCGAGATGGGCGGATCACGAGGTCAGGAGATCGAGACCATCCTGGCTAACAAGGTGAAACCCCATCTCAACTAAAAAATACAAAAAAATAACTAGCCGGGCGAGGTGGCGGGCGCCTGTAGTCCCAGCTACTCGGGAGGCTGAGGCAGGAGAATGGCGTAAACCCATGAGGCGGAGCTTGCAGTGAGCTGAGATCCCGCCACTGCATCCCAGCCTGGGCGACAGAGCAAGACTCCCTCTCAAAAAAAAAAAAAAAAAAAGAAAAAGAAAAGAAAAGGCAGGGGTTGCAATCCTAGTCTCTGATAAAACAGACTTTAAACCAACACAGATCAAAAGAGACAAAGAAGGCCATTATGTAATGGTAAAAGGATTGATTCAATAAAAAGAGCTAACTATCCTAAATATATATGCACCCAATACAGGAGCACCCAGATTCATAAAGCAAGTCCTTAGAGACTTACAAAGAGACTTAGACTCCCACACAATAATAATGGGAGACTTTAACACCCCACTGTCAACATTAGACAGATC